TACTATAATAGTGCTAGTTCTATATATGTGTCCATTCCCATAGCTAGAATATTTCTACAACTGATTGTTTTACAGTGCCTATAATCCTGTGACAAGAAATATAACCGTCTGTTTCCCTCTTCTTGCCCAGGAACAGTATGTGTTTTGTTATGAAATAGCTCTTCACGTCCTGAAGAACATTCAGAGCATGAGATCCTAACATCCACAGTAAAGAAAACACAACTTTTACATCTCCAGGCGACTCATCTTATTAACTGCAACTCATTCCATCAAGCTGTCCAAGGGACAATAGGAAGTGCTATATAAATAGAATTGTGCTATATTTTCTGTATCAATTTGATTTTTAAAGCACTATCTAGGCAAAGTAGGCAGAACAGTGGCAACATATGCAGGAAATTTAGATATAAAAATATGTGCTTGTAACAGAATTCACTTCTGCTAGCCTTTGTAATGTTACTTTTTGCCCCAGAGTTTATCAGAGATTAATAAGTATGCATGGCAGTTGTTTTCATTCATGTGTATTTAAGCTACATGAGACTTTGCTGTTGCTGAAGAAGAGAGTTGTAAGATTGTATTTTGAATAGTTATGCTATCTTCCTAGACGAAAATTAATTTCTCGGAGCAACCTCCTATTGAGCAATTTCAACGCTGATGTTTTCATGAGAAGTTCTGGGGATCTCCCATAGGCAGTAATGGTTGGGCAAATGGACTGAGTAACCACGAAAAAATGATTTGACATTTATCTGTTTTTATTTGTCAGTCTCAATAGGTTTCCCACATATATATGCCAAATTATGTTTATTATTTAACACAACATTCATTTTGCTGTTTTCCAGTATTGTATCTTTTTACTTCTGTGTCTGAAAATAATTTTTATAGATGTTGGTGCTTTTTGTTTCAATCATGAATAAGTTTACAACCTATTCTAGTCACATATTTACATAGGTCTCTAAAAAGTATTGTGGTCCCTAAAGGGATGTCACATAGAAAGTGAGCTTGTTCACGGCTGTTCCAGAGATTAGAAGACAAACCATATACAGGCAGTCTCTGAATTACAAACATTGAACTTACAAACAATTTATAGTTAAGAATGGGGGTGAGACAACAGAAAGTGAGAGAAATCTGCCCCTTGGAAGGGAAATTTACTTTTGAAAGAGTTATCATGGGGAAAAGGTGTCTCAACTGAAGCTTTCTCACCAATCCTTGTCTCCAAAACAAGCCAATTTTTTCAAAATCGAATTATTACAGGGACAGAAAGTGAAGTGAAATCTTCTGAATTGGGGAACAAACAACAAAACAAACACCACAGGGGTGTTCACCTTTCCCAAGGCTGTTCAAAGCTGTTCAAGGCTGGAGTTACACTTTAAAAAGTACTGTTTCTGACTTACACATAAATTCAACTTAAGAACAAACCTACAGAACTTATCTTGTTCATAACTGGGGATTGCCTATACAAGAAATAATATTCCACCCTAAACATTAGGGAGAACCTTTTAATGGTAATATTTTGATGGTAAGAATTCAGTTGTAGAATAAATTGTCTCAGAGGGTGATGGATCTTTGGAGGTCTTTAAACAGACATGGGATGTCAATCTCTCAAAACTGGATAATTGTGTATACCTTCATGGCAGGATGTTGGACTGTATGGCCTTTATGGTTCTGTCCAACAATGATTCCAGGATTTTCTCTAATACCGGAAATGAAGAGATTGATGTTCTTTGTGTGTGGGTATCTTTGCATAGCACTGTTTCAGTTGGTAGGTCAGAATGTTTTCAAAGACATAAGAATATTTGCAATGTTCTGTCCTTAGGTCCTGCCATGCTCCCTAATGTCCCGCAATTTACATTTGCTGTGTATAACCCCAGTGGCTACTGTATCTATCCAAACTTATTTTCTGTAATTCAATGTATTACAATATGTATCAGCTACCCAGTTATAATGATTAACAATTATGTTCCTGAGTTTCTCAGACATTACTATTTAGTATGGACTTTTCCATCTAGTTTGTTACAGAACTTTTTGGGATGCAAAAGAATAGCATTTTAATTATATACATAGGAAAATACATAAATCAGGAAAGAATCAGGGGCATATATTAGCAAGGCGAGATATAGGTGGCTATATGCTACATCGATTTGGTCAAGATATTTGCATCACTACAGAAAATGTTAACAGATAAATAGAAAATTATATAAGTAACTTGAAGTCTTCACGCAACTGTCTTCAATGATTTCTCACTAATTCTACATGAATTGTTTTTGTTTTTTTAATGCATATGCCTTGTCTTAAATTTTTACTAGGTTTTGTCATGTTATTGTCAGCTGCTTTGAATCCCTATGGGGAAAAGTTAGGATAGAAATAAAGATCATCATCATGCATAGGAGTGAAGGGTTTGGGGGTTCGGGACTATGAAAGAAAAGCTACAATTTATGGAGTGGATCATGATCCTTTTTGTTTTCCGTGTTTTCTACCTTTAGAGGTGCTCCATAAAAACTCTTGCTGTAGATTTTCAAAGGGATGGGGAGCTCACTTCCTAATGAAAATAAAGGGGTATTTATTTGATATATTTCTTTCTTAATTCCTGTTTTGTACTCATTACTTCCATGAATATTTTTCCTTTCTTACCCCAAACTAGTGAAGATGTGCATTGAGCATTTCTTTTGCTTTGATGAGTGCCACCTCAGTGGAAACTTCCATGTGAGGACTCACTCCCACACCTTCCCAGCTGTCATTAACAGAAAAGACAGATCTCGACACAGGGGTTGTGATATAGAGGTTAGTGCCATCCACATGAAATGTCTGAGGTGGGTGGCAACCCCCACTGGTCTTCTGTCCAATGACGAAGGCTCTACCCAGTCTCTTCATGATGTATACAAATTCTTCAGCAGCACCAGAAGTCACAGAGCTGGTGAGGATTACCAAGCCTTTATTGAAGCCATATCTTGTACCTTCAA